GGTTATCATGATGCACCGTCTGAAGGTCGTCGTGGTGAAAGGTAACAACTGAGGGCGGTCAGTCAATGAATAACGTCCACGACAGTGTACATCTAGTGGGAGACAGTAAGAATATGTTTTTCGAATATTCTCTGTATTGTACTTTTTAATATTTTGGGAGATTGTCCCTTATAAATAGAAATGGGATGTAACGAAAAAAGTGGGAGAACACTTTGTAAAAGAATCATCAGATATCGAATACAAAAGCAGACTTGTTCACTAGAGAAAATCCTAAGATTCCCTAATCATCCCACACTTATTCTCTCTTACACCGATTACACCTGTAACGGTTCTACTTACGCATTTAAGTCTTCGCATTTATAAGCATTTATTCGTTTTGAATAAACTTGTTATATTGTTCGTCTTATTTCCTCTTACCATTATTTAATCTAAATTTTGTTGTGCTTAACTAAAATTAACCTCATCATTATTATTAATTATTTTAATCAGAAAAATTTTAATATTTTTTGGTCAAACAATAACCCCTGATCCCCACACAACCAAATGGCCCTTCAGGGAATATTTTGCTAAGATCTTAAGAGCATCGGAATAGAAGTTTTGCTCTTCAAAAAAGAAGAGTACTACTTGTTGTGTGTCATCAATACACTTGGCATATAAACAAGCAAAACAGTATCATGCGGAGCTACAAACGAATGACAGTCGTTCCTACCAAAATGACACGACACCTTATTGTTTCAGGTTCCACAGGACCCGCCATACCTTTTCACTACTCATCTTTCTGCACTTTCATTTACTTCCTCAACTGCGCAGTACAAATTTTAATATTATGGGTTCTCTATCGTTTGCCCATAAATTTTCAAATTTATTTTAAAAAATATATTTTGGGTAAAGTTTGATTTAAAAATAAAAATATGTTTGGACATCAGTTTTCAAAAGATATTTCCCAAACTTATTTTGAAAAAATATGAAACATGACTTATATTCATAAGTTCTAAAAACTATCACGAATACATAACAATACCATTATCAATAACATTCATTATATTATCGCAAACCATAGTCCTGAACATAAATAAATTTGGTACAACATTAGCATTTTTATAATGAACTACATAATATACTATCAGATGACCAAGAAGACGAAACAACATTATTACAAAATAATAAAAGGCGGGGGCTTTTTATAAAATATAAAAGTTTGGGGCAATTTTTTTTAAAATGTAATAGTGATACTTTGGCCCAAAATCAGCTAATAAACTGGTTTTGGGATTTGGGATTTTGCCAAAATATAGCCAAAATCTATGGCCAAATATGTATTTGCCAAATAAAATTCAAATTTATTTTGGCAAAATTTATGGCCAAACGGGTCCTTAAATAATAATAATTATAAGTGCTAATAATTGAATTTTAAATTTAACACACACATATATTAAATTTCTTAACATAAAAAAGATGGTTTGGTGGATAAAATATTTCGCATCTACACAGGGTTCAGAGATCGAGCCGCATATTTAGAGGACATGATGTAGGCGGTCTATCATAATACAAATATTAATGATTTTTTTCACGACTCAAACTCGTGAATATATTATTTGAGCAGAAGCTATTGAATCCGAGAGAATTTATATCTAGACTTCTGCCTGCTTTGGGCTTCGGCTTAATAAATATCTTCGTGGAAGCATTCATTAGCATGGCCGTAGCCCATATGCACGTTTTACAGAGATTTATGCTTAAGATGCAAGTTTCAATCATAGTTAATTAGCAGATTAAGCCCCATTTTTATTCTTCTTTCATAATCTCCAGCTCACTCTTCAGGGAAACGGATAATATATATATATATAGAATGGTCAATCACATGCACGCATGCATCCTCATGCACATTGCACAAAACTTCTTATAATTAAGCTAAGTAAGATCCACTAAAAGAGTTTAGCTTCTATATATTTTTTCAAAGTAAAAAAATATATATTGAACAAGTCATCTAAAAAATAATTAGGTATAACAATTCATAAAAAAACAAAATTAGAACATAAAAATGAGACATGTTATCTGCAGCAATAAGGTAAATTAATACTCTAAGTATAACTTACCTATTAGTGTATAAGTTAAATCTTTAGTAAAAGTAACAAGCTTTCATTAACTGTAAATTATTATTCAGCTCTTTAATGTTTAGCTGAAAATAATTACATGTAAATGATAAACATATAGTCCTAATATGAATGTGGTCCTAGATTAGCACGAATTATATACAATTATTTTTGACGTCTCCATTAATTTCAGTGGCTTTTTCCTTTTAAAAGAAAGCTTACATACAGCCATCGTAAGGTGTAAAATCTGTAACTCCTAGCAGCATACACTGAATTTTATTTATGCCTTACCGTGAATCTAATCACCCACCTCGATATTTATGATATTTACCAAATTGTAATATTTGAAGTATCGGTTGATGTGGAATGTGATGACACATTATGTTCAAATTAAAAGCAAACACAAAAAATCTGACAATAAGAAAGTACTACAATTTTTTCAAGTTATTTCATTCCAAGATGCAAAATGAAACTATAAATTTTCACATTGAAAACATTAGAGAAAAAAAAAGGCAACATTTTACACTACTAAAAAACTGACAAAATTCATTCACAAAATACTGACTGAAATCGGTTGAAAAATAAGTAAATTAGTCGCAAAAGTCAAAGAAAATATTTCTGATAAATATACCGACCACTATCGGTCGGCAATAGTGGTCCCACAACAATGATATAAAAATTTTGACCGATGTTGGATGGAAATCGGTCAATCTTTGACCAAGATCTGGTCACACTTGCATATTATCTATCAAAATAAGTTTTAATTGAAAATTTTCAAATATACCGACCGAAATCGGCCAAAAATTTAAAATTATTCTTTCTCGCTCAGGTGTGTGCATATATATATATATATATATAATTTACCAATCGACTTAGGTCGGTATTATTGTTAGATTATTTATTATTTACAATATCTACATATATTTAACAATACACACACACATATATATACACACACACATAATCTTGAATGTTTTATTTTCGATCACCTTATTAATATATGCTATATATATTAATACATATGTTATTGTTGCTAAAACTTAAGTATTAATATAGCACTACATCTTATAGAACTATGCACTTTATTTTTAAATATGTTATGGTAAGTTTTAATCGAATATAGTTGAATTTTCAATTGATACATACACAGATTGGATATAGTGTCCATATAAAATAGTGTCCATATAAAAGTAATTCAAAAAAAAACATATACTTGCGCGCACACATTTCTTCCCCATTTTTCTCTTTTCTCTTTCTCTCGTTCTTTCTTCCACATCCGCCAAACCTTCTCAAATCCCACCCAAATCAACTCATCACTCCCTTCTCACCCAAAATNCTCATAGCATTTGAGAGCCGCAAGTTAAATGAGACGGAGCGGCGTTACACGGTACAAGAGAAAGAAATGACTGCCATTGTGCATTGCCTTCATACATAGAGACATTATCTTCTTGGGTCGAGGTTCGTGGTCAAGACTGATAATGTGACTACTAGCTACTTTTAGACACAGAAGAATTTCACACCAAAGCAGGCTAGGTGGCAGGATTTCTTGGTCGAGTTTGATTATGCGCTGGAGTATAAGCTGGACAAAGGTAACGTTATAGCCGATGCCTTAAGCCGAAAAGCCGAGCTTGCTGCAATCACTTCAGCGAGATGGGATATTCGAGAGGCTATAAAAGAAGGCATGCAACATGATCCAGCAGCCAAACAACTTATCAAGTTAGCCAACCAGGGCAAGACAAGACGTTTTTGGGTAGAAGACGGCATATTGCTTACCACTGGTCGGCGGGTCTACGTGCCTAAGTTTGGAGACATTAGACGGCGAATCATAAGGGAGAGTCATGATACAATGTGGGTTGGTCATCCAGGCCAACGTCGCACCAGGGCCTTGGTTGAGTCAGTCTACTATTGGCCACACATGCGAGATGATATAGAATGTTATGTGCAAACTTGTCTTGTATGTCCGCAGGACAAGGTTGAGCAACAACAGCCCGAAGGACTTTTGGAGCCACTACCAATTGCAGAGCGTGACTATGGACTTTATCACTTGCCTACCAAGGTCCGACGGTTATGGTACTATTGTGGTGGTCGTGGATAGATTTTCCAAATATGTCACCTTCATGCCCGCCTTACCATGTTGCACAGCCAAGGAAGCCACCCAGCTATTCTTTAAGCCACAGCTATGTTCCTCATCCATTGGAAAGGGCAATCACCGGAGGAGGCCACGTGGGAACGATATGAAGACTTGTGGCAATTCAAAAATAAGATCCGAAAGTTTATGCAACAACATTGTGCCGCGGTCGTCGCAGTATTGGGTGGGGGAGAGTGTGATGACCCATCATGTCATCATGCCACATAGGCACCATTCATTTATGAAAAGATTCTAGAGAGATATAGACATTTCCTTAGGAAAAACCTAGATCATTATGAATTTGCTAGGAAAGTCCTTGGAATCTTCTAGGCTTGTAAAGAATTCTAGAAAAAACCCTTATCTTGTAAATATCAAGGACTTGTGTAATAATTAATATTTACCCAATAGCCCCTAGGAGACTAGTATATAAAGGGGGCCATTCATTTGTAATTATCAAACAAACAATTCATGTTCTCTCTAATACAAAGCTTCCTTTAACAATTCTCTTATGTTCTGATCTTGAGTGTAGTAAGACTGACTTGACATAGCAAGAACGTAAGCAAGTTGTGCAAGATTGTGAGCGAGTTGTCAAGTGTCGCACGTGTACTTAGTTAACAACTAAGAACGTGACAACTATCCCATAAAATGCTCACCAATGGTACAATCATTATTACAAAACAGAAATTAGTGACCACAATACTACCCTGTATTGGCTGACTTAATGTTGGAATCGACGTTGTACCTATCACCAGCGGTACAACTATCGAGAGGAGGCCTAGGCAATTGAACTNCTGAGCATAACATTGTATGTTTTGTTCCATATCCATAAAAGCTAATGCTCCTGTGAACAAAACAAACCAGTTGCAAATTTCAGAGCTATACATCAAAAGTTCTATGTAATACAAACTACTGGAACATGAACAAAACAGAGCTATAGATGAAAAAACTACCTAAAAGAACACAACCAGCCAGTTGGAATTTCAATCCGCATCATGTTGCATTGAAATAGGATGGGAGGCTTGAAATGTTCTCGAATTTATGGCTCAAAAAAGTTTATTCTCTAAAGGACATTTTACATATGGAAACTAAATAGTCTGTTGGCTAGTTTAACTAGTACATGATGGCACCATCTCATTAGAAGAACAAGTTACCAGGAAAGAGAATGAAAATAGCTGATTGCTGAATAACAATGTACACAGTGAACATGCTCCCTTCCCCTCAAAAGAATACTATAATTCCTACTCGCAATGATACACAGCAACATGTAAAGAGTTTAAAACTCCTTATAAGTAGATGCTATAAATTAGCTCAGCCAAGAGGCAAAAGTGGATGGCATGTGAGCTCCTGAACCTAACACTTTTTGGCTGCTGTTTCACAATTCAACCAGCAGCGCAACTACATAACTCCCGATTAAACAAATAAGGGAGGTTAAACAACATAAATGTAATACCTGCAATCTCCCCCTGAAGGAGCTAATGTGAAGTTTCCATTGCTTTATGGCTCAGTACTCCTCAGTGCAGCATCATCATTCATTGTCCAAACATAATCAGGCCTGTCAAGCCTTGGTCCAGCCACTGTTCGGTATATGTAAAGTTTATCAACAGGGAAGCTATCTGGCCGCGTATCTGAGGGACCCCTCTCATCTATAACTTCAACATTAAGCTTAGGCAGCTTCTGGCCTAGCAGCTTACAGGCTCCAAAACTTACTGAACAAGAAGACATCCAAAGGGAACGCATCTTCTCCAGCTTTGCAGCATTAGCCAAAAGAGCCTCATCGCCAAATGGGCAGTCTCTGATCTCTAGTTTTCTGAGGCTCTCGCAACCAGATAGAACATGGTGGAGGCCCAGATCACTATCCCCAGCAAAAGCAATGGAAAGCATCTCTAACTTTTTAGCATGGGTTCCAATGCACTCAAACACACGGTCAGTAAGGAGCCCAGAAAGAGAAAGTCGCCGCAACTCTTTGCATTCTTCCACAATTGCCCCAAAACCAACATCAAGCGGTTCAAGAGTCAAGTAATCAGGAGTTCGAGGTTCAATAATACACAAGCGGAAACGAGTCATGTTAGTACGGTTTCTTGCAATAGTAACCAAAGCGGCATTTGTCATTTGGCGGCAGAAGTATAAAACCGACTGGAGCTTAGGGCAGCCATCTGAGACAGCCACAAGGCCTTGCTCTGTAAGTAAAACAACTGGTTCTGGAGCAAAGGGATCAGAAGGAAACACCCTAAGTTCTTGAAGGTCCTTACAGGAAGCGGCAAGCATCTGGAGACCAGTATCTTCAATGTAGTCTAGTACCTGCGATCACATTCATTCAAATTGAAGTGTTAATGATATACCAAACTAGTAGCAAGAAAAATTAAAGAACCACTTTGACGGGAAAGACTTCAAAACCACATGAAAAGAACCGATACAAAAATCTTTAGCATTTAAGCATCTAATTCAGATTGATAGATGCCTTTCATATAACTGTTTGTCCCTTGCCGTCACCAGAATTGACATGAGTTATTAGAATGTGCTCTCTTTTATCGGGATTAAAAGTTGTTTATGGTTTCAATATCGAGAATGCAAGACAAGTACAATAGTAAAAGCAAGCTAGAACATACCCACAATCTCTGCAAATTGTGACACTGACTTATGAGCTTGCTAAGATCAGGGTTTTGAATAGTAGCATAGCTTAAATTCAAAGAGGTGAGTCCGGAGCAAACTGGATATATAGCTGGAAGGTAAGCTGGCACGACATCCCAAAATCCAGACAAGCCTTTAAGTCTCTTGCAGCCTGAAAAAGCTTCTTCCAGGTTTGAGAAAATATCAGACTGTACCTCAGAAGAGAAGGCACCTGTACCAAATTCAACCAACTGGGAAGCGCCAAGAAGTAGGTTAGGAAGCTTCTCAAGGGGAACAGAATGATTGAGCCGAAGAGTCCTCAAATTAGGAGAGCGAGCAATCAGACGCTCCAGATCTGAGAAGCTGACCTCAGAACCCAAACAAGAAATGTTAAGTGAAACCAGTGAAGTACAGCTATCAGAAAAATAACTGAGCCAATCGCTACTTAGGTCCTCCACTTCACTTTCTCCCAAGTCCAGTTCTCTCAGTTTCCTGCAGCACATTGTGAGTAGCATGAGATTATCGTCCAAAGAATACAACAACCACCCAGTAGAATCCCATAAGTGGGGTCTGGGGAGGGTAGAGTGTACGCAGATCTTACCCCTACCCTGAAGGGAAAAAGAGGCACTATCGTCCAAAGAATCCGAATACCGATTTCAAGAAAGGGGACTACAATAAAATCTAAAAGTCAAAAGACACAGGCGAATTGAACTTTCAGAACAAGTATATTTCCAGTAATGGAATTTAATCGAAACCCATTTCCTGAATTCTCCAATTAAGCATGTTACATTGAACCACAGTGGCATCCATTTTTTCCCTTTTTGTAGTATCATAAGCACCGCAGATGAACTCCATTACAAGCCCCAACCAGATATAACACAGTGGCTCCAACCAAAGCACCATAAATAAAGTAACAGAAACTAACTAAAGGAGGATATTTTTCTTTAAATATGAACTGCATACATAATCATGGTGTGTGCAACAACAAATACAAAGTCGCAAGTCCAGCATTACATCATTACATGCTTTTACGAAATCAACTAGCTGGCATTTTCATAATAAAGCTTCACTGACTACTGGGATGCAAAAGGGAAAATTTGACTAGAACAAATGAAAAACCTTTTGATTCTCTGCTCAACTAAACACAGGCACATAACAGCACAAACATAGAACCTAATTAATACTAACAAACAAACAAAAGATTTTGAACTTCGTGGTAAGATAATCAGATCCATATTAGCCACGGAGCAAGCAACATTTAAACATGATTCATTCTGTAGCAAAATAATAAATTTGGGAAAAGTGTATAATACAAGTTCTTGTCCTATTAAAAAAAAAAGATCAATTCATCTACAGTGTAGTCTCAGTAAAATGAAAAAGTAAAGACAAAAACTAAGCTTTGTTATTTTCTTGATTGATAAAGGTTAACTATCACAAAAGGGAAAAGGTCCAAGTTTGCCCTCGTGCTTCGCCAAAAGGTCTAACTTTGGTTCATCCATATCCTCGTTACAATTTTGGCCCGAAATTATCCTTAATCACTAAATGGTATCCAACCTATAAGTTCAAATCCTGAACTCTAATAAGTTCAAATCCTGGACTCACACCAGAGTCAGCATTGACCAGAAAAAAAAGGTTCAGATTTGAAGCCAATGCAACCACAAAAGAGCTACCAGAAGCACAAAGTTTAAAACTTTATTCTCCAGGTAAGAACTAACTTACTCAACAGTAACTAAACAAAAAAGGTAACCTGACGTGTACTAAACCAAAAAAATGACACGTCACAGAAATCTAACCTGCAGTTAGCAGCAATAGCAGCAAGTCCATCAGTAGTAAACCCTTCACAAGATAACAACACCAATACCTTAAAATGCTCAAACGAAGTAGAAATCAACTCCAAAGACTCATCACTGACAACCATTCGCTTCAGTCTAATCTCCTCAAGCATAGTATAAGTCCCCGACATTGCAGCAATCCAAGGTTGTACATGCGCGCCCCAACCTTCAGGTACTAGGTTAAAGTCCGCAAAATGTGGCTTTCCTTTCAGCTTCACGGATCTAACTTCAGTAGGGAACCGTCTGATCATAATCTCAGGGCTAACGGCGTAGCAGTTTCCTATGAATACTTTCCTCCTGCACCGCCTCTCAATCTCATACCATGATTTGCACACTAAGGATATACTGTTCCGGTCCTTGTCGGAGGTTAAGAACGAGAACAGGTGCTTTAACACTTGTTCTGGAAATGATGAGGACGCCATTGCTGTACGGAAACGGAGGTCAAAAAATGGGTTTTTTCTTCCCTGCCTGAGTAGCTTGCAACAAATCTTTTTTGTGTGTGGAGAATTGTAAGGAGTGTTGTTTTGTACTGCAGTGAAAGATAGGGGCATTTTATTACGTAGGATGTGTGGCGAATAAAGTTAACCAGGGTTAGGAGCTTTCAGATCTGAGTCAAACATTAATCAGGGTTAAGTTGAGTTGTCGGTAGGGAGACAAGTACTGTCATGTCCCGGAACTGTCACGTGTTATTGTGGATATAGTTGTCTGGGAAATTCTCACAAGTTTAAAACTAAATTTTAATTTTAAATAAATATTATTTCCTCCGTTTCAATTAGATGATGTTGTTTGATTTCGCACAAATTTTAAGGGTAAAAAGAAGATTTTTGAAATATATGGTCCTAAAGGTTTAAGGGGCAAAAAGTTTTGTGGGATCATAATATTTGTGTGGTTATAAAAGTTTCTCATTAAACGTAAAGTGGATAAAATAAAAGGTTTAAAGTTAAATGAGTTCGAAATATAAAAATGTGTCATTCTTTTTTAAACGAACTAATAAGAAAAATGTATCATTTAAACTAAAATAAAGTATTTGACTTGACAAAAGTTTAAAAAAGGAATAATTTTTGAAATTTGATATGTTAAATATACTAGTATAATATTTGTGTGTCTTGCTCATCAAAAATAATATAAAAAATTAAATTAAATTATTTTAAACGAAAATCATCCTTTTTGGACGAATAAAAAAAGAAAGATTTAGCTTACATAAACTAAAATGGGGAGTAAAATTTTTTAACTGAATTAATCCATATTTCCCTTTGATCACACTGCAATAGCAGAGTGCTTATCATTTCCAACTAACTTTGCATCGTTTGGCTACCCATGTGTTATAGTAAGTTTACATTCTATATTTGATGATAAGATTAATGTGCCTCTGTCATTTATGAGTGATCGAAACTCACTAAAAAGAACCTTCTAGATAGAGAGAAAAAGAACTGAGAGGAATTTTTTCTTCTTCTTATTAACGAAAAACTCTACTGAGAAATGGCTTGGACAAGCCTGTTTACAAATTTGTTAATTCTAACCTCTTGTCACGACCCAAACTGAAGGGTCATGACTAGCACCCGACCACACTTGCCGAGCACCAACGT